CTGTACAATTTTCACAAAAGCATGATCATGCAAGAATTCTTTGATATGATAACTGATTATTTAGACAAGGAAACTTTTTTAATATAACCTGACACATAAGCTTATAGGTTGTGCCATATGGAAAATTATTAATTACAGTGGGGAATGCGTATATTGTTATTTTACAAGCAGGCACAAGCTTAATGTGGGAAATGCTGCTTGCTGCTTGCTGGGTTCACCCAGCATCTCCTCTTTGGAAGAATGGGCACATTTAGCTCATGTCTGTCTGCAAAATGTCATGTACCCATGAAGGAGATGAGGGATTAGTCAAAGGCAATAAGGAACTAGTTAGCAGGAAGGCAGCAGCAAACAGATTTGAAGGAAGAAATGTTAAGGTCCAAGGATTTCACTAGTGGAATTTCTCTCCAATTTCTTACCAGCTGGTGCTGAACCAGTTTTCTTTAATGCTGTCATTGAGAACCTTTGGCAGGAAGAGCAGAAATGTGCCAACAAAATTGCTTGATGATACAGAGCTGGGAATTGTTTTTAATAAGGCATGGAGATATTATTAATACAAAGTAGGTTCAAGCTGTCTTGCAGAAAGATTGGGATGGCCTCAAGTACTGGAAAAACAAAAGCAGTGGGGTGGAATTTCGGTGCCAAGTGTAAGGTATTATCTTTTCAGGATGAATAAGAGTTTCCATTGTCAACTGGGTAATACCAGTGTGCAGAACAGGCTGGAGGGTGACTGGGAACAAAAAGAGTACAAGAATGTGTCAGGTGAGAGGTTTCCACTGGCATGAGTACAGAGTACTGAGGAGACATGCATTTAAATTGATCAGGGTAATGAAGAGCCTGCTTAGTGAGAGGTAACAGAAAAGGTTGTTTGTTTAGCCTATCTCAGAAAGGAAAAATAAATGCCTATTATAAATATATATATATATATGTTGTCTATAAATGCATGAGAAAATAAATAAATTAAAATAAAGCTATGAAACTTTATTAGTGAAGTTAATTGTATTTTTTTCTTTTGTATTGGATATTGAAGAGTCTTACAAAAGCCATCTCTCACACAAAGGTGAGGTTCCAGAGAGAACCTGACAGCATAGGAGGCTGTGTGTTCTTACCTCTTTCAATTTAGATTAGAGTTGAGGGGGCTCATGTTCGCTCTGGAGGAATTAGGAAAAGATAAATACTAGTTTTGTCCTATGTTTTCCTTTGCTTATGTCTTGTATTTTTCCAGACGTTGTGGTAAGAAAACGCATGACATTGTTCCTTAAATGTCTTGAAGCAAAAGCAACAGCAAAAAGATCAGTACCAAGATTTTCTTTAGTTGAGATCAGCTATTTTAAGTTTGATAGGTAGCAATTAGATTTTATATTTAATCGGAAAATTTAAATTTTCACCAAAAAACTGCTAAAATGCAAAATGGGAAAATAAAGAAACAACAATTCCTATTTGCAGGAAGGTGGACAGAGAATGGGTAAGGACCTATCCACATTAAACCAAATATGAAAGTGTAGGAACTTCTGGACAAAACAAAATCTTCAGAAATATTTTTCACAGTATCCAAGTAATCAGAATACCCTTTCAGGGTTGAAAAGGAGCTTTGCTGAGAGTGACACCTATACCAAAAGGTGAACAAGCTCACCTCTAAACTGACCTTTTCATGGGAAACCACCACTAGAGGAACCTGTGTGTAATTCTTCTTCTTTACCCTACCTTCCAAAACAATGTAATCAAAACAAATAAATTTCTGTGAAAAGTTCTGATTTCCACAGCTTGACATTTTCCAGAAGAACAATATTTTGTTAAAAAGTTCTCAAGCAGCTATTGTTATTACTAGAGGTGAGCTCATGCAGGATTTTTGCCATATGCAGTATGGATGGATTTCAATATACATTTAGGAGTCTTCCAAATTCTTTATTGTAGAGCAGATGCCATTATTTTAGTTAGCAATTTAACTTTGTGATGAGCACTGCTTTGCTTTCCTTCTTCTAGTGAAGGAAGACATCTCTGCCTTGTGAGGATATTTGACTCTTTTATTTGTGTTTACCACCCTTCAGGGCTGTGAACAATGGGTCATTTTGTCGCATGGCTGCATGCTGTGCACAGCGACTCTTGTGCTTGGATTTTTGTTGGTCTCATGAAGCTCCCTAGTATCAACTCCACTGGAAGTTACTGAGGAGGCTAACAAATGTCTGTTTTTCTTCCCTTCACTTTTTGTAGCTCTTGGGTTTGTTGATTTTTTTAAAATCCAAATAACCTGATTTTGTTGACATTTTTATTGGTACAAACCCAGATGCAAACCCAGTCAAATCAGTGCAGTTTTTTTCTGCTGAAAAACTGACATAAATGGTAGTCTTAAGGCTCTAATGCCTCTGACTCTTGTCCTGAATGGCAAGTGGAACATGAGGTGTATTTTTTATGATAGTTCTCCAAAGAGACTAGCCGTTAATCTCTCTGAGTAGGTGTGTCAGCTGCAAACATTTCCTTCCAGTCTACCATTTCAATCACACTTCACAGTACACTGAAAATTGGCAAGGATGTTAATTACTGGCCTCTAGAACAAACCACCTACTTTGATTCAAGTGTGTTTTCCAATTTTTAAGAATGTTGTTTCACTTACAGAACAGTATAATTACAGAAAATAGCTTGGTTTGGCTAACATCTTGTGTTCTGTGAGTTCTGCTTGCAAGGCAGCAAGCTGCACCAGGCAAGAGGCTCACCTGCAGAGGATTTTAACCTCCTTCTGACAGAAGTTAGGGCTTGCCAGCATGCAGTACATTGTTTTCAGTATCAGAAGCTCAAAACCACTGTCACTCAGATGTTAAACATTAACGCTTTCTGCTTTTAAAGCTGAAGGAACGCCCCCCATATAGTAAGAAAGTTTTTATTCACCAAGGAACTTCCTGTTAAAACTTTATGGAAGTCTCTCACAGGAGCAATTGCAGCCGTGGGTCCTGTACCTGGGCAGTGCAAAACCCTGGGTGCAACATGACCCACCGAGCAGCACGGTTCAGAGACTGCTTGTGTAGCTGCATTTGTGCAATGCAGTGTTCAATAAAATTTGTCAGGAATCAGCCAAGTATCCAGGACATGATTAATCAACCAGCAGAATGAATTGCCCATAGATGATTGGGAGTTGACAGTAAACAGTAAAACACCTGCCTTGAAGACTTACAGACAAACAGGAAACAGAAGCAAGCGGGAGCCCTGTTTTAGGAGAGAGATTTTGAGGCATACAGGCAGAGTTGTTCATGATTATACAGTGAGTTTGGCAGACTTAGAGGCTGAACTATGTGCATTCCCCTTCATGGGTTTGTAGCTCATATAACAGGTCTTTAATTTACCAAGAAACTTTTCCGCAAGACTGTCCTGAAGAGTTGGCAGAATCCACAGTTGACATTTCTCACACATGTGCCTCTTGGTTAAGGGCCCTACAATTTGTACAATTAATAACTTACACCATGAATTAAAAACATTGGAAAACAGCCCAATGCTCAGGCTCATGAGTCAAGGAATTGCTGTGGAAGCCTGATCTTATTTGTTGTTACAATAATAAATCACCCACTGATTTATTTATATGGTACCTGGGCCCTCAAGGCAGTCCTGCAGTGCTATTGAAACTGGACTTTTAAAATTAATGGTGATTAAGCTATAGACCCATATTAAATATGCATGAATACTTATTTCTCCCTGCCTCCTCTTTAACTGTAAGGCCTGTTGGGGCTGGCTACCTTCCTGAATTACAAGCCACATGCTGCAATTTTCATTATGGTCATGAGTGAATGATTCACTCTCCCTTCAGTGTGAATCAAGGATGGGAGGGGGAGTGTCCGGTGGGGCTCACAGATGGGAGATGAAGGTGATTGCTCAAGGGTTCCCTCACCCCTCTATAAACCAGATCCTGGGTAAGAATGCACCCAGATCCCAGCATGTACTGTTGGTGCCAGTCTCTGCAGTCCCTGCTGGCTCATTGCCTGCCACTGCTCAGAGTCCTGTGTCAGTAGTTCATGGCCAAGGGCCTTGCTTCACTTTCTATATGTTGGTCAACAGTTTTGCAGTATAGCAAAACATATGTATCATATGAAATGTGTTTCCTGATAACCACTTGGCTGAACTGAAGAGTTCTAACCTTAGATATTCAAAAAACTTACATAGGAGAAACCATTCAAAACATGATCCTGCTAGTGCAGAAATCATGAAAAAATTATAGAAAAATTTCAATGCTAGAAAAAGAAAGAATATTTCATAATAATTAAATAGGCTGGGGTAGTGCTCATTTGCTTCCTGGTAGCTGGTACAGTGCTGTGTTTTAGATTCAGTATGCAAATAATGTTGATAACTGATGTTTTAGATGTTGCTAAGTGGTGTTTGCCCCAAGTCAAGGACTTTCAGTGTGTCCTGCACTGCCAGTGAGGAGGTGCACAAGAAGCTGGGAGGGAGCATGGTCAGGAAAACTGACCAAAGTGACCAAAGGGACATTCTGTGTGATAAAATATCACACCCAGTATATAAAATGGGGGGTGTTACCAGGAAAGGGTGTGATCACAGCTCAGGGACAGGCTTGGCATTAGTCAGCAGGTGGTGGTATCAGTTGTATCGTGCATCACTTGCCTGTCTTGGGATTTATGTCCCTCTGTCCCTCTCATTTTTATTACAATTACTATTATTATTATTATTATTATTATTATTATTATTATTATTATTATTATTATTATTATTTACTTTGTTTCAATTATTTAACTGTTCTTATCTCAATCAACAAGTTTGATTTTCTTTTCTTTCTTTTTCTGATTCTCCTCACCATGCCATCAGTGGGAGGAAGGAGAAGTGACCAAGCAGCTGCATGGTACTTAGTTCCTGGCTGGGGTTAAACCACAACACTATGTTACATACAGCAGTATAACTCTATGTATGCAGTTATAATGGTTGAAATTATTGCAGAGATTGATGTGTTTTCAAAAAAGTATGGATGTTCTGAATAAATTGGTTATCAATTGTTTATCATTCCACAGGCAGAATTGATAGCTTTGCAACAAGAAAAGGAAGCTGCTCTTCAACAGTGCAAAAAACTAGAAGAAGAAATCCAAACATTGCGTGTTTATTACAGGTAAAGTGATTGATTCTAATATGAATGAGTGACTCATAGGGGAAATTTTCTGTACGATGTCTGACTGAGTGAGGAAATGGCCTTATCAAGTAGGTATTTGTTGGAAAAATGTGAATACATCAATGAATCAAAGCCTGCATTTCTGCTTTACTGCTCACCAACCACCTCTTTGAAATAGGAGTCCCTTTCTTATAGCCTGAATTTTGTATTAGTTTCTTCTAAGGGAAGTGAAAAGTTGGTGGTTGATTTTTGCATTAAAAAGCTGTGCTATGGCAATATGATCATTTAAAAACACATGGACAAAGGAACCAGATTACATAAATGCTTGTTTCTTCCCTGATTGTTTGCACATACCTAACTTACTCAGTATAGATTTTAAAATAATAAATCCGTAATTCTAAAATACTGGTTTCTTCTTCAACCCCAATATATGTGCCTTTTAATTCCTCATGTTCTGTAGCAGTATGGAGAATGAGAGAAATGCCCATTCTCATTAATTTAGGTGGGCTGCACTGAACATTTGCATGGATCAGTGGGTTTTAGTCCCTAAGGAAAAGCTCTGTGTGGTCTAGTGAAGGAGTTAGGTTGTTTTATGGAGTGATGTTGGGTTACAGCTCTCATTTCATCCTGACCTCCTGTGTGAGAGGGGATACAGAGCTGCCAGCAGGTTAAAGGCAGGAGAATTGGCATCAACACAGCTGAAAATTGTGAATCTGAAGGCTGAATGTCTGTGATGAGGGATGTGGGCTACAGAGGTAAATAATAAATACAGTGTGAATACTATACTCATTGGAAATAAAGAGGACTAGTTATTTATGTCTAAAAAGCATTTGAAATAGCAGAACTGTGTATGTTTTCAGTGTTTCAGCATTCAAAAGTGAAAAATACTCAGGTTTCTAGAGGTTTTTCAAGTTTCCCCTTCTCATTAAGTTTATTAAAACCTTGGAGGGAAGTTTCAAGAGCAACTTTTGTTCCTAAATCTCATAGGCATTTATTTAAAGCCTGTTAATAGTGAATAGAAACCCCAAGCAATTTGTGATTATTGCATTTAATGAATTTGGTCAGCATTTAGTGTGTGCACAAATTATGGTATGATTTACCAAGCTGGAAAGAATTTATTATGGTGCCCCTATTAGTCGTTTAAATGGGGTGGTTTTTTTGAATAATTTAAAAACTGAAATGCAATTTTTTTAAATGATATTTCAGAAATTAGGAATTTGCTTGTGTTGGTCTATAGACATTTTATGAGATTTTCACTGATTTTTGAGTCACATTTTTGGCCTATGCTATCAAGTTTGCACTAACATTTGATGGTTAACAAGTACAGTAGGCAGCAACAGCCATTTACTTGTTGAAATGCTTTAAATTCCAGAAATATCAACAATAATGACTTGCAGGAATCAGCATTAGAATGTATCATGTTATTAACTTATAGCTCTTAATTTGATCAGTCAAAATTTCACTGTAAGTTGGATGACAGCATTTGCAAAATCTATCCAGAAGGTGTGGAATTGCTCACCTGATTATCCCCTGGAGCAAGAGCTATTGTAGCACTACTGATTTTTACAAGTTATAACATCTAAAGTAGAAGATTTTATCTCCTACCTACCTCACTGTTCTAGAGGCTAATGTGTTCCAGAGTGGACCCACAGGGTGGCTGACTGAGGTTGGCAGGGACCTCTGGAGGTCATCTTGTCCAGCTCTGCTCAGGCAGGGCCACTGAGACCTGGTTGCCCACGTCCACATCCAGAGGGGTTTTAAATGTCTTTAAGTATGGAGATTCCACAACCTCTCTGTATGGAAACACTGTCTTAAGCATACAAAGACATGACTTGAAAAGCCAGAGGCCACCTGGAGCTGAACTTGCAAGGGCTGTAAAACAAGGATTCCTATAAGTGCATAAGCAGCAACATTTAATTTTTCAGGCCTGTCTTTTGATTTGGTTAGAAATTAATTGCACCATTGTGAGGCTTCTTATGAACTTGACATTTTGGTTACAGTTTCCTTTAAGTTACACAAACATCTGCAGCCCTTGTCATCCAATAGTGTGACAGTACTTTAAACACATGCCAAATGAAACAGAAAAGAATATATGTCACATGTGCATAAAGCTTTGGGAACTGTACCAGGCCAAGGGTGGGATGGCCACAGTAATTATGAATGACAAGGTAGACAGTGCATTTCCCAAGCCATCCCAAATGAATGAAAATTTGCACTCTGATTTGTATGTGAAAGGGACACTTGTATAGACGTCTGCTGGGTCTTTTTATCTCCTCATAGTGCTTGCCATGCTATGGTAGTCTAGAACAAGCACTGGGAGTGTTTTTAGACAGTCTGTTTTGAACTGGGGTAGAAGTTCGCTGCTTTGATCCAAGTGAGTTAGCTGTATGATTTGCTGTTCAAGACTGTATTCCCTGAAGTTGCTTCTCTTTTTTGGATTTCATAATTCCCCAGTGAGCAAAATATAGGCTTCCACACATGCTCCAATCTTCATGAGAGCTGTCAAACTGCAATGTGACAATGCCGGGTGCACATTCCCTTCACCTACTGTTCTCTCATGTCTTCACCAGATTCTTACACTTTCTGTCATAAGCCCCAGCATGACAGGGGCTTAACAATTTTGGCTCATTAGGTGACTTCTCCTTTTGCTATTAGGTCTTCCCTGGCCTTACAAAAAGCATTTATCCTACTTTATTCTTTTTCTCCTTTTTTTAACTGAGATTTCTATGAGTCATGGTTTAGGCTTGCTGAGACTCTCCAAAACACATGCCACTCACTCATTCTCCCTTCTCCCTCCCACTTCTTCCCCTGCAACAGGATGGAAAAGAGAATTGGAGGCAAAGAAGGTGAATATCAGGAGTTGAGATAAGAATAATTTACTGCAAACAGCAATGACACAAGAAAATGAACAGTAACAGCAACAATATTAATTTTAAAAGCATACAAAAGAGAGAGAGTGATTCACATGCACAGTTCTAACCCCAACCCAACCACAGCCACACTGTCCCAATGGGAAGGAACCCCTTCTCCCCAGAAAAGACTCCCTTCTCCCCCAACTGGAAAATGTCATGAGATGGTACAGAATATCCTCTGGGTCATAGCCATGCTCCCTCCTGGCTACTGCAGAAACTTACCCTGTGCTGGCCAGAGCCAGGACACTACATCATCCTTTAACTTAGAAGAAACAAATTTAAGAAAACAAAAACAAATAAACAAACAAAACAGAACAAAACAAAACAACCCAACAACAACAAAGAAAGAAAACAAAACTAGAGGCTTCCATTAAAGCATACAAGTAATACCTACATCACTTGTACTTGTGCCTTAACACACAATAACATTTCAAGGATTTGGTCACAAAAGTAATGACTATGTGTGTATATTAACTATTTTGTATGCATACATGTGTAAACAATGACATTAAAATGTGCATTTTTATACCAACCTGACTTTCACTAACATTAGCATAATCCAGGAAAAGCAAAGTGCCATTTGATCATACAAAATCAGGGGAGAGATACTTAGGTCCAGACTATCTGTATGTGTAAGTAAGTACACACAGACATGCCTAAAGGAGGGAAACAAGTGGAGACCTTCAGGGGAAAAATATAAAATCCCCTTCTATTATCTCCACAGGAAGGATCCTAGGTATCTAGGATACACTCTTCAGATTTGGGTCCCCAGTAAAAGTAAGACATCTATAAATTGGAGAAAGTTTGACAGAGGGCAACTGGTACAGTCAGGAAACCATAGCATTTGCAATGTAAAGAGAGACCAAGGGTAGTGCTCTTGTACAGCCTGGGAAAGAAAAAATATTCCTTTCTTTGTTGGCTCCAGGGGGACCTAATGGCAACCTAACAGAGTCTGTGCAGAGGTTGTCAAGAAAGGCGACCTCTTCACAGTGCTCCATGACAACAGGGTGAGGAACAACTGACTTGAATTGAAACAAGAGCATTTCAGACAGGTTACAAGGGAAAACTTGTTCCACAGGGGCTGTCCATCATTGGAACAAGTTGCCAGAGAGGTTTTACCATCTCCATCCTTGGAGATTTCCAATGTCTAACGTCAAGAAGTCATGAGCAACATGGTCGGATCTCATATTGATATCACTTTGAGAAGAAGTTAGATTCCACTGGAGACTGCCAGTGGTCACTTCCAACCTCATTATTCTACAATTCTCTGATCTGGTAGCTGCCTGTGTTTGAAGACATTCATTTTTTTTCCTCCAATTGTGAAAGAAGTAAACCGCACTTCTTTTCAGGTGAAGTGAAAAGCAAATCCTAACTGAAACTGGAGCTTCATGGAAATCCGTAATGGCCTAACCCAAAATTTAAATTAGCTTTTGCAGATATAATGAGGAAACATTTCTTTCCCTCTGACTTTTGACTTTTTGAAAAGAAAGTATATCCCAGAACAATTTCAGTCTTCTTTAGAAGGGACAGAGAAGTGAAATGGAATTAAAAAGGGGGAAGAAGCTAATTCAGATACATAAGGGACAAGAAGCTGGCTACAAATTCAGTTTGGCAAGTTCTGTGCTTGTGTTTGTTCTTCTTGTGTTGTCTCTGTGTCAAGTTTCAAAAAGAAAATTGTGTTTTCTGGATGATAACTCAAAAATACATACCAGGAATTATAATTTGCATAAGAGTTAGGAATAGCATAGAATTTCTCTCTTACTAATAGAATTGTTTCCACACAGTGCTCTTTAAGCTAGAGATTAATGCAAATCATAAGATCCTCAGGGACCAGAGAAGGCTATATCCAAATAACCAGTTTTGAAGTACGTGGCAGTGTTAATCCCACTACCTCTTTCTCATATACCTCTGTTGTTTGAACATCATCACAAGTTTTTTATTTGCATATTTTCAGTTATGTGATCTGGAAATTTTATAATCAGGTTCCTTCTTCCCCTAGATTTATATGCTGAGTGTGACACCATATTGTTGTGGGATATGCCTTTGGTCACTTGTAGTCAGCTGTTCCGGCTGTGTCTGTATCCAACT